GTCGCGCTATTCGTCATCCTGGGTGAGGTATAGTTATTCTTCACCCCCCTCTATTTTACCATCAATGCCCTGTAATTTTACGTTCCGTAACTTTTTTCTTATTTCCGACGTAAAAAGACACCGTAAGAGAATATATAATCGTTGTAAAAAATATTTTATGTTATGTAAAATTACAAACATAAAAACATAGTGTAAAATACACATAAACTGTAAATTTTCTTGTCTTATGACCTATATTTTTATTTTCTTATGCCAAATTTTATGTAATGAATCAATAGAAATGTAACTATTTGAATTGCAAACGTAATTCAATTATGAAATTATCGTAAGATTACCTCGGATGAAGAATAACTTATTCTGCACCTTGGGTGATGAATAGTAACACTATATATATATGGTACAAAACGTGGTTCACATTATTGGATTTAGGCGGTTGACTCCCGCCACCCTCAATTGGATAATATGCATCTTTCACTATATATAGGGAAAGATGGGTGTTTTTTGTGATTACAAAAGAAAAATTGACTACAGAAAATTGAAAAAATATGAAAATAGGGGAACACACTTTTTTGTGCTAATTTCCCTACACGTGATTTTTTTTAAAAATATGAAAATTGTTGTAGATGATCTGAGGAAACTAGCTGCCCATGGAGCCATGGAGCACCACTTGCTCATGTATTTGTAAGATCCGGCGACCACTCGTTTCATGAATAGTCAAACAGCATAATGTGCAATTATGTCGGCACTATATGATATGCAAACAGATTGTCAATTCACCATTTCATAGGTGTGCTCTCGACTGAATGAAGTCTACGATCAACCAAAGTCCCCCCCCCCCCCATGTTCCCTATCTGGATAGAAATCTTAGGTTGTGCACCACGACCAAGATGGGGGAAAACCGAGAAAACTTAATTTTTATTTGATAATTAATACGATTGCATACAATTAACTGACCATTGCATGCCGTGGTCTCAAGTCATTTAAAACATACACGCCACCCATCTCCTATTTGTTGATTTCTTTATTCAGACCACCTCAAATGCAAAGGTGTTTAGATGAGGTGCTAAGTATATTAAATGCCTTAGTAACTCAAGTCCCCAATGCAAAGGTGCTAAGCTTTTGGATGCTAAGTTTCATGCATTTAATTAGTTGTAAACTCAGATTTGTGCTTCCACCTAGGTACACATGCTTAGCAACGTTTCTTAACTAGAATGCCACATATGATTTTTTTACTTAGTTGACAACCTTAGCACCTGTACAAGGTGGAGCATTGGAAGGGCCTCATGTCAAGAAACAAGGAACAAGGTGGAAGTTAATGCACCACGCGTAAGTGTTTTGATATCATTTGGTTTTCGTAATGTGCCTAACACTAGTAGAAAACAGGGCTTTGGTCACAGCGAAATATACACATTAGTCCCGGTTGCATTAGGAATCGGGACTAGTGTGAGCATTAGTCCCGGTTCGAGCGGCTAAAGGCATTAGTCCTGGTTCAAATGGGCCCTTTAGTCCCGGTTCGTGTCTCAAACCGGGATTAAAGATTAGACCTTTAGTCCCGGTTCGAGATATGAACCGGGACTAAAGGGTGCGATGCCCTTTTGTCCCGGTTCGTGTCTCAAACCGGGACTAAAGGGCCCATTTCTCAAACTCTACCCCCCCCCCATGTATCGCCATTTCACTTTTGAAAAAAACAAAATAAAATGATAAAAACTTCAAAAAATAAAATCCTTCGAGATGTAGGAAAATTTACAAACTTAAATTTGGACATGTTTTGCAAAAAAGTGTCATGAAGAATTAAAACGGCTATAACTTTTGCATACGATGTCGAAAAAAGTATAATATATCAAAATGTTCAGCACGAAAATCCGCATCCGATTTTGACGGCATACAGCCTGTTTGCAAATTTTTAGAATCCTCAAATTCTAAAAGGAAAAAAAAAGATATGCTCAAATTTCAGTTTTTTTAAATGTTGGTTAAATCTGGTCAAACTATGTTCAAACTACTTATTCAAGAAGTATTAGTGTTACTACATAATTATTCAAGAATATTAGTGTTACTAAATAATTATTTCAATTTTTGAATTTTGGTCAAATCTGGTCAAACTATGATTAAACTATGGTCAAACTACTTATTCAAAAAATATTAGTGTTACTAAATAATTATTGTTTTTTAGATTAATAGTTTCAAACTCAAACAGTGAAACGTGTGACTTCATGCTTAAGCTAAACTCCTGAGGGTTAATAGGATTGACATCTTACTATTGTCAGGAAAACAACAAGTGCAGACTTGGAAACAAGGGCGGATAAAACTCGAAAGTTAAGCGTGGTCAGGCTGGAGTAGTGAGAGGATGGGTGACCGGCCGAGAAGTTAGGTGATTTGGAATGATGAGGGGTGATTAGATATTAGAGGTTAAATTGAGTAGTGATGACGGGTGATTAGAGATTAAATTGTAAAATAATTCAAAAATTTGAAAATATGAAAAAAATCAAAAAATTCAAAAAAAATCGTAAAATTTTCTTTAGTCCCGGTTACCAACTGGGACTAAAGGTAGAGCTCCAGACAACAGCCACGTGGAGGGCCTTTAGTTCCGGTTGGTATAAGAACCGGGACTAAGGGGGGGGGGGGGCTTTAGTACCGACCTTTAGTCCCGGTTTCAGAACCGGGACTAAAGGCCCTCTAGAACCGGGACAAATGGCCCTTTTCTACTAGTGTAATGCACCGATACAGAGGGAGTATAGCTTGAAATATCAAAGTCAACATCATTCTCCTATGACGACTTACTCCCTCCGTACCGGTGTATTTCCTCCATCCATAAATATATAGGGCCTAATACATATTTTGAGGCTGCGTTTGACTATTGATAAGATTAATAATACATGATGTAAAATATAAAAAATATATCATTAGAAGCTCCTTCCACGTATGAATTTGACAGTGTGCTTTGTGTAACTTGCATGTCAAATATTATTGCTCTAGCATATGGTCAAAATTAGCATCGAAAAATGCATTAGACCCTATATATATGGATGGGGGAGTATAAGTCATCTTACATTATAAATCGCGACCAAGGCAAAGGGAAAACAAGAGAACTTAATGTCTATTTGCTAATTAATACTATTGCATGCAATGAACTATATTGATCGTTGCATGCCTCACGTTTCTTATTGATTGATTACTTTATTCATGTCAAGAAACAAAGAACAAGGTGGGAGCTAATGCACCGTATCTAAGTATTTCGAGTTTATTTGATTTCATAATGTAACTAATACACTGGTACAAAATGGAGTATACTATCAATAATTTTCAAAGGCAATTATTTCTATCAGTTTCTAGTCCTCATCTCGGCTTTTGGCTCCTGCAGGGGAAAAGAGCTGCAGAATCATCTGCCTGTACACATTTCTTTATCAGCTTACCAGAGAAGTCAAGAAAGCTGTTCCATTAATTGCTTTGGGCTTTCTTCCCTCCAATAATAGCTAACCACGATGGATCGCGGCTGGCAAAGTTGGTGATCTAGTACCAGTACTGTTCCTATCCTCCAACCAAAATGGAGCGGTTTGCAGCCTAAGGTCGTCACGCCTAAACTTAGTCGTGTCATAATATTTTAGGTATGTGTTTGATTCATTACTACATTTATGATTTGCCACACTTTTCTAGCTACATGGTCCACATGTCATAGACTCAGAGGGTGTTTGTTTCCAGGGACTTATTGATTTAGGGACTTAAAAAAGTCTCTATAAGTCTCATCTAAACCAAAAAGGAGGGACTTGTAGGGACTTAAAATGGGCATTTGGGACTTATGAAATAAGACTCGCAAGGAAGGACTTATAGGGACTTATAGTTGTAATGTGGTCTGTTAGTCCATGTTAAGTCCCAGTAACCAAACAGGTAGGGACTTTGTAGGGACTTGAGACTTATAAGTTAGGACTAAAAATAGTCCTAGGACTTATGAACCAAACATGACCTCAATTTCTTGTCAAATCTTGCCACACTTGTGGTGGCCATTTTGTTAGCCACACTTTTTGTGGTAGCCACATTTATGCATAAGCTTAATTGTGGCAAAATTAGTCATAAATCAAACAGACCCTAACTATACCTTGTGGAACCTGATTCCCTCTTAATTTATGACAACGTTACACATGAATATGAAAGAAGAGAGAGAATTGGCTGGCACGCGCACATCTTTTACTTTGTGCTGCTTAATTTCCTCTTATAATTTATGACAACGTCAACCATGAACATGAACAAAAAGAGAGAAACGGCCAGCACGCTTACTTTCTGTTGCTGTCTTGCTCATCGACGGTGCTGTTGGTGCTGTTCTGTTGCCGTGGTGGTTATGCTGCCCATGCTGTGGCGCCTGATGTTTTACCCGGCGGTGTTCGGTTTGGGGTGTGGTTTTCGTGGAGATTTTTAAGGTCGCGCGTCCTTTCTCGGAGCTCTCTCTTCTCCTCTCTCTCTCTCTCTCTCTCTCTCTCTCTCTCTCTCTCTCTCTCTCTCTCTCTCTCTCCGGCGGGGACCACCGTGGCCTGGGCGTTTCCTTCTCAAGGTTGGTGGCACTTCTCCTCTGGAACGAACGTAACTAATCCCATTACAAGGCTAGCTAGCTTGGCAGCAGCTATATATAAGCACCCTCCGTCCGTTGCCATTGTTTCCTTGCACCCCATTACCGGCAGCAACTTCATTCCCCTCGACTCGACACCACCGTCTCCCCTAGATTGTTTCATCAATTGTTGCTAGTTGTGGGCTATAGCTAGGTGGAGGATTTCACTCCAGCTACAGTACTGTCTTCTTTTATCTATCCTATAGTGATCCCTGTGCGTGTGAGATTCACCCATCGACCATGAGCATCTCCGTGAACGGGCAGTCGGTGGTGCCGCCGGGGTTCCGGTTCCACCCGACGGAGGAGGAGCTGCTCACCTACTATCTCGCGAAGAAGGTGGCCTCGCAGCGCATCGACCTCGACGTTATCCCCGACGTCGACCTCAACAAGCTCGAGCCATGGGACATCCAAGGTCAGTGAGTTCCTTCTCCTTTCTTCACTAGTTGTGCACCATGCGTGTGCTAGATGGATGGTGAACTAATCGATCGGCCATGGAAAAACGCATGCATGCAGAGCCCTGCCGGATCGGAACTGGCCCGCAGAACGACTGGTATCTGTTCAGCCACAAGGACAAGAAGTACCCGACGGGGACACGCACCAACCGCGCCACCGCCGCCGGGTTCTGGAAGGCCACCGGCCGGGACAAGGCCATCTACTCCGCCGCCGGGTCCGGCCGCATCGGCATGCGCAAGACGCTCGTCTTCTACAAGGGCCGTAGCCCACACGGCCACAAGTCCGACTGGATCATGCACGAGTACCGCCTCGACGACGCCGCCCCCGTCAACCCCACGGCCGGCGAGGCCACCTACTACTCCAGTGACTCATTCCCGGTATGTGCTCTACTAGTACAGTCCCTCTCTCCAGACTGTACAATACTGTAGTACGTCGCAATTGCATGCACGGCGGCCGGCCGACAGGGATGCAGATCGTTCGCTAGTGGTGCATGCGTGCGATCAATGTACGTTCTGTACGCACACTTTCTGTGTATCTACACGTGGCACATATGCGACTGTAGACGACAAAGTCTAGTGAAGATTATGTCCGGGTGGTGGTTGGGAATGGCGAAACACATGACATGGTGCAATGGAAATAATTGTAATTTGCGAGTGGGAACGGATGTTATACTACTCTTTCCGTTTTTTAGTCCGCATATAAGATTTGATCAAAATCAAGTTTTATAGAGTTTGACTAATTTTATATTAAAAAATATAGACATTTACAATATAAAATCAATATTATCAGATGCACCATTTAACTATGGGTAGAAGCTATGAAAAAATATAGCAAAGTTAAGTCCTTGGTCCCTTGGTACTACTGCTGCTACAGGTATGTCCAAATAATCGAATAGTGGACCTTTGTGCACGGAGACACCGGCATATGACAAACTAGTAACAAACCTCCATTACCGAGCGAGCCTTTTCAAGGGTCAAACACTACGTACATGCATGCATGATGATGAATCGACATGCCTTTTGAGCTGCCTTAGGTAGTTAGCTTGAAGAACATTTTTATATTATGAGATGGAGGTAGAAGTTTCTTTGAAAATGTAAATCTAGTCTCAACAAAAAATTGCAGGTAATTAAGCTCGTCACGCGCGCTTGATTAGTCAATTGATGGTGTCTATCCGTATCATATGAGCAGATACAAGGCCTAGCCGGCGAACAGCCGTCGGCGCCGGAAGACGGGTGGGTCATCTGCCGGGTGTTCAAGAAGAAGAACATCGTCGTGCAGCGCCAAGCTGGCCAGAACCGCGGCGGTGGCGGCGCAGCGTCCAGCAAGCTAGTCGGCGCCGGTGCCATGGAGAGCAGCCAGAGCAACTGCTCGTCGACGTTGACGGCCGGCAGCGACCGCGCCAAGGCGCAGATGATGCACTGCTCCGCCAGCAACGACGGGCTCGACCACATCCTCAGCTACATGGGCCGCTCATCCACGGCATCGTGCAGGCAGGAGACCAAGCCCACCAACCCATCATCGTCAGCGCTGGACCACCTGATCAACAGCGCGTGCCACAGCGGCAGCAGCACCCTGTACGACAAATTCATGAAGCTCCCGCCGCTCGAGCACGTCGTCCCCAGCGGGATCCTGCCGCCGCCGGCCGAGTACGGCGGCGACTGGGACGATCTTGACCGGCTGGCGGAGTACGAGCTCAACGGCCTTTCCGACGCCGCGACAACCAAGACGACCAACGGCATGTCCTACGTGGTGGACGAGCTCGGCGGCGCCACGGCCTACTCCGGCGGTGGCACCCTACACGCTTACTCCGTCACTGGGGCTGGCGACGGTGACATGTGGAGCCTGGCGCGGTCGGCGTCATCGCTACAAGCCGACTTGAGGATGACTTGTTTTAACGCAGTCGGATGCTGACACTGTCGTAGCCCAAACTTGCTTATTTTTTATACGGATATTTTTTGTATATAGAGCTGATTCACTCGCACGCACTAGAGGAGTGTCCAGATTCTACATAAGAGCATCTTCAGAGGCACAAGAATATCAAGCGCCATAATAGTTTTACAGCGTCACTGTAGCACTTTTAACGCGCTGCAGCTAATATTGGTTTTTCACATGCCCAAAAACACGCGCTCAAAAACACACGCAGTGCAAATTATGAAGCACGCGGCCCAGCACCCAACATTTGCAGCGTGCAATGACGCTTTTAAGCGCGAGCGTTAAATTCTTTTGCATGCGCATTATTTTGAAGTATCTGCTGGAGTGTCTTTGGTACACAAAAAGAACGATTTTTAGTGTGCATAGCAGTTTTTGGGCGCCTGTTGGAGATGCTCTAACGAGATGCAGAGTCTACATGTCCAAAGAAATGTTCTCATAAAAAAGTAAAAGTAGATAAATAACCTAAGATGGAGGAGGTCCTATCCAAAGACTAGACAACCATCCATGATTGCAAAACACCTCCCTCTGCCGGAGCCTTCTTCATCAACTTTGCTGCAATGATGAGCATGTGTGGATAGTGCTCTTTGGACTATGGGTTCAAAACAGTAGCTATGTGACATCTGCTCTACGTCGGTCTTCAATACAAATATCTCATGAGCTGTCTAACATTATTGTGATCAGTTTGATGTAATTCTCCATGTGTTTGAACGGAGAGAGTAATAATCTATCTCAATGATAGAAAGATAAAAAAGGCTTATAGTGTAATATTGTCACTAAGGATAAAAATATATCTGCCTAGCTAGTTATCTCGGCGATGAGCAAGATGTAAAAATAATATACCATCAAGATTATGTCACCTTGCTTGATGCAATGCTCTCTTTTATTACTTAACACTTTAAAATATATGATGTATTTCAGTTTGGAGTGGAGTACTAGCTATAGATGCAGCGGTATAGTGGTATGGATACAAGGACGTAAGCCTATATGCTGCATGTATGATCAAACATAAAAACTATAAAAAACGATACACAACTATAATTTATTTACCATGTCTATGCTATTTGGAGAGAAGATACTAGTGAAATTATGGATTGCGGTCATTTATTCCTCTCTATATTCATGTTTTACTATTATTTTAATATCTTGATGTTTTTTTCTACCTGTCATATAAAAATCTATTTCATACATACGATACATTAATTCTTGAAAGTAGCAAAGTTAGTAAGAATGAAAACCTCACTAGACTAAGTTAGTTAGTGACCAAGAAAAAGTTACTTAGCTGATTGCATGGTTGATCTTTGACTCATAGGAGAATACCACAGGTTGATATCTTCGTTGTCAATACCGAGAGATGATTCTTTCGATACTACAAACCCTTGATATTCAGGGCACAACAAATATTCTTTTCTTGGCACTAGATTATTAGCGAGCGATGCCAGGAAGCAATCAACAAGTCACTTCCACTATCTATCATGAACTAAACCTCTCCAAGCCTAAGCTCTCTGCTTCTGCAAACACTGTTACTCCTGATGTTATTTAGTTGCACTATTATTTCACACATTTGTTTATTCTCCTTCACAACAATTCTCTTTCTTCACCACATCTCAAGTTTTGTAGGTACCAAACTAATAAAGCCACTCGAAACTAGCGTCACCTTAAGTGTGACCGAAACACTTACCATAATACTCGCCTTCACTTTTCATTGGAATGATATACAGTTGGTGTATGTTGAGCACAGAAAAAGTTCCGATGTCAAACTGTGAAGCAAACGACGCTTCACCTTCATAGTTGACCCGTTTCCTTTTGAAACCTGAGAGATGTTCCCATTTCCGTGTAGTATACGTCACAACTTTTGCAAAAACTTTTAATTTTGTAGTAAAACCATTAGGGATCATATAATGACACCCTGCCAGGTTGCATTATTTATGGATTTCTTTTGTAATTTCTAGAATCAAGAAACTAATAAACTCCATGTTCAGGGTTAGAGTCTTGGCAGCCTGATGTTTGAAACTCTTATTCATTTCTTGGATAATGCCTAAAAATATACTCCTTGACACAAATATGATTTTGAACCCTATTTTGCCATCCTTTTCATGCACTCGCAGTTTAAATTTGAATTACGTCTCAGATAAAAAAAATTGAATTATGCCTGTTAAATGCCTCAAAAATTGCTTAATGACATACATATAGCGAATTAACCACAAAAAATGTCATATAAAAAAATTGAATTATGCCTGTTAAATGCCTCAAAAATTACTTAATGACATACATATAGCGAATTAATCACAAAAAATGTCAAAATTTACATGCAATATGTAATGAATACTTTGCCTTCAAACTCATCTCATTCCTCCCGTAATCACGACTTTTTCTAGGAGATGGTCCGATTTCTGTATACATCACTACTTTGCAAACTTCCTCAAATGTTATTCACATATTATAGTGGTCATATAATGACACATTGCTAGGTTTCGTGTTTTCCAGACTTCGTTTGCATTTTTTTAGAATTAAAACCAATAAGCTCATCTTTAGTGATCGAGTTTTGGCACCCTGATGTTTGGAATTCTTTTTCTTTAGATAAGCCCTAAAAATAGTCTCAAGAAAAATATCAACTTAATTTTGCCAACTTTTTCATGCGCTTGCCGTTCAAATTCGAATTATATCCGTTAGATGCCTAGAAATGCACTTAGTGCCTTAAAAATATGACTAGATTTTTTTATCTAAAACATCCCTTAGTTTCCCCATATGAACATATTACATTTCCATGGTAACACCAATTGATGTTTTTCTGGATCCTTTTCTAGTTTAAGACAATAATTGCGGTTATATTCATTAACGGGGGAGTATTCAATTTTGAACTGCATGCACATAAAAAGTGGGTTATAACTTGAAACAAAATTCATATTTAGGTACTTGTATATATTTCTACCCCCTCCAAAAAATTTAACTCAAAATTTAAAAGTTTGCTCTTAAAAATTCAAATGAACACACCAGGGCAAATTGATTTGATTAGAGGACTGACATGGATGCATCTGTAGATTGATCGTTACGATGCGAAATTACGTTGCTTACACTACAGGAAAAAAATATATGCCCCTTGCATTTTTCGTAGGTTACGTGTAATTTATCGGCCACTCAACATATAGTAGTATAAGCCGAATGCGAACAACAAGGCACATGGCGAAGAGACGGCCCTCGGCGTACGGTGTCGGAAGCACCCGCAAAACACTCGTCCTATGGCAGGCTGTTGTCATATTTCAGGAAAAGCACTCAGCATTTACGCAACACATGGTGACCAGTTCATGCAGTGTGGACATGCTCGCCACACTTGACAGCTCCGTGACGGTGGGCAGTACAAGCCAAGTGCCCTCTAATCACTAGTAGAAAAAAGGCTATTTGTCCCGATTCATGAGGCCTATCTATTTTGGTTGGAGAACCGGGACTAAAGGGTCGTTACTAATTCCTTAGGCCTTTAGACCCAGTTCTTATACTAACCGGGATAGATGGGCCTCCACGTGGCCGGTGCTGCGAGTTCAGACAGGAGGCCCTTTAGTCCCGATTGGTGGCACCAACCGGGACCAATAGGCATCCACGCGTCTGCTGTTCAGGGGTTGTCTAAAAAAAAGCTGTTCAGGGGTTAGGGTTTTTTTTTCTGAAGGGAGGGGGGGTGGATTTGGGGCTTTTGTATAGTTAATTAAGGCGTTTCATATATTGTGTTAGGTAGCTAATTAATTAATAGAGAGAAGTGTCCTCTCTTATCTCCGTGCTTGGTCGACGCTACGCACTATACGTATATAGAGGCCCTCGACACGCTAGCTAGTAAGAAAATGAAGGAAACCATTAAGTACAGAAGTTCGTCATGCATACCGAGAGAAGTGATCGACCTCTCCTCCGAGAGATTGGTCGAACAACAAGTTTTTGTATATCTATCCGACGCTACTGGCTACATATATACAATATAAGATCTCTTACAATATAATGCCCTAATTATATATGAACTCAGGCTCCACATGGTATTCTCCGGCTTTATTGATGACGTGGTCAAGAAAGAATCCCGCTAATTCCTCTTGAATTGCTTTCATGCAATCTTCTGGTAGGAGTTCATTCCGCATCTCCCACGTCTAATTTGAAGAAGGGGGTTAATACATATATATAAATGAAACTCAACATAAATGATGGTGTAATAAAATGAAATTGTGAAATTATTGCTTACGCACATCAAATTGTCTTTAGAGTAGCCCCGCTTATCTTTGCAAGTCGCGTTGTAGATGAACTCGCACACGTAGTATCCACATAAATCATTCCCTTGTTCCTGCCACAAACACTTTACGAGAAATAGAGGTCAATCAAACTGATAATGAAGCATTATAAATGGCATTGATGAAAGTAGCTAGAATCAAGGGGATCGAGATGCGCGAAACTAGCTAGCTAGTACTACTTACTTTCGGGTATGTCCATCGCAGCTCCCCCGGCAGTCCCGAAGCTTGTGCGGTGAATACTTTCTAAACCCTGCGAGACAAAAAAAACAATTACTTGATATCAGGAAATGAACAAAAAGTTGCCGATATGGTGCGATAATGATCGATTGAACTTACTTCTCGAGCATTTTAGTCATGTCCGCATAGGTCTCGGGGGATTTTCGTCTCGAGTCTAAGGCAGTTACTAGTCCCTGCTCAAGTTTAATCTCCAGGAGAATATAGTGAAAGTTGCGCACGCATGCATAACTCATCAATTACATTACTATAACCGCGCTCGAGTAATAAGGGAAACCGAATATGCACAAGACAGTAACACTCACTCGAAGTTGTAAGGAAAGAGTATTTTATCTTTCTTTTGATTTACTATCGATGATTTGAGCAAGTTGGCCTCAGCATCATCGGCGTTCTTTTCAACCTCAAATTTATCTATGAGATTTGCGTTAATGAACCCAATATCATACATTTCTGCTTTTCTGCACTCTACGATCTTCAATCTGCATA